GGTTTCGGGCCGTCAGGCCTGGGGAAGGGGACCCGTGCCCCACATAGCACAAGGCAGAGGGAGCTGACCCGGGCCTCTGGGGGGCGGGGACCGCACCCCAGTCTGGAGAGACTCGCCAGTTCTCGAGGTCTAAGGGAAGGAGGTCCAGGAAGGTGACCCGCCTTCCCAGGTAGGGGGGAGACCTGATCCAACCTCAGGGAGGTGGTCTGGCCTCCAGTGTGGGCCTCAGTGGGGACGATCTGTGCTAGGTGCTGGCGGAGGCCTGGCCCGGACCAGTCCGGGAAGGACACCCTCCTCCCCTACTACCAGGGGCATTCTTGGCTCGGGGCCACACCCCTATTTTTCTTTGCACTGACGGGCCGGAGCCCTCAGATGAGGAAGCAGGAGAACTTCCCCTAAACACTTCTCATTTCCCCCCGAAGGCCAAGGGGCAAAGCGCCCACCCTTTCTCAAAGGCCCTGAAGTCTTGGAGAATATGGCCCTATGCCTCTGTTTTTTGTCAGTCTGTGCGACAGACCCAGAGTAGTCTGGTAACTCGCCTTAGTGACAGGCGAGTTACCAGCCAGCGCGCTCCAGCACAGGCTTTAATGCCCCGAGTGTCTTCTAATTGGGTTATGGGTAGTTGTGAGGATCAAATGAAGGAGAAAGTGCTTTAGAAACTGTAAGTCCCCATCGTTATGAGTGGCCTCTGGTTATCTCCCTGACTGCCCAAATCGAAGGAACCATTCCAGGTTGTAATAGATGCCCTGAAGATTGGAGGCTGGTGCTTCTACCTGGAACTCCAACAAGTTTCTGATGTCTTGGCTAAGCAGGGTAGGGTTTAGGGGCTGTGATAGAATTAACTTATTAAACCTTATCTACAGTGGACTTAGTTGTAGAGCATTTCATTTTTTTAACGCATAGAAAATTCAGACTACCATTTGAGTTTGGAAAAACTTTGCAGATTTACTTAACACTTGTTTACATAGCTGAATGATTAAACCACACCTTAATTTGCCTCTTGGAGTATTTCTTAAAGGCCTTCATAATCAAATTTCATATGCCTTTAAAAAATAAATTGGTTTTGCCCCATTAATATTATTTGATAAACCTCAGTGTGAGTGTTACACTGGGTTACTGCAGCTATGTCCCCAGGCTAAAGGCATGATCAGGTTTTTAGGAATGTAACAGACTTCTGTTCAAATCCAGTCTAGTAATTTAATAGTTGTACAACCGTGGGCAAATTGCTTGTTCCTTTAGACTTTCATTCCCTCATTTATAAAATGAGGGTAATAATAATTATGTGCTGCAAGTTTGTTGTGAGAATGAAATGAGATAATCTATGTGAGAAAACTTGTAGAGAATAATGTGTTATAGATACTCAACAAATATTTCTTCCCTCTCTCCCCTGTTAATAACTCATAATTGAATCAACTGTTGCTTTTATGAGCTGATAATGAAAGGACTATGTAAGTGTGTATACAAACTAAATTTCATGGAAAAGATCAATCTGGTGGTGTTAGGAACATCCCGGAGACTCTTTTTATTTTTGGTTTGATTTTAGCTTTTGCAGGTTTGAGGGCTTATCAGTTCACCTAGGATTGTGGAAAATTAATTCTCATTTATAAGACACTAGTGAGTAAACCAAAATGTCACATAGATATTTTTTGTTGACTGTAATATTTTCTTGTCTGCTGTCTAGCAAACTCCTTTTTTGGTGTCACAGTACCTTGGAAACCCAATTAATAACAAGAAGCTGCTTGCTGAGCATGGAATCAGAGCAAAGGGAGTTGGTAATCTTGTGGGTTATTTCATCCAGGCTGTTTAAGAATCCAGAGAAGCTTTCCTGCTTCTTTGTTAAAGCTCATGGATGCAGTGCCAGTGCCCTCCCTCTCTGGAACAATCACTGAAGCATGCTTAGTCTTGCTCTGCTCTCCCTCGTCCAATTTCAATTTCTGACAACAATAACTTGGAAATAGATTTAATTAGATTACCATTTATTTTGCTTGCATTAATGATAACTTTTATTTTTATACTGCTTTACCGTTTGGAAAGTGCCTTCACAGCTGTTAGCTCATTTGATCCTCTGTGAGATAGGCAAGGCAGGTATTATCCCCATCTTACAGATGAGAAAAGAGGTTCAGAGAGCTTCAGTGACTTTACCAAGGTCTCAAGGCTGAGTGATGAAATGAGGATGAGTCTCAGTCCTCTGACTCCTAGTCTAATGCCCTCCTCTTCTTTTTAGCTGGCTTCATCTGGTTTATGTTGGGTTATATTTGTTACCTTTTTGAAAGATGTAGTTCTCTGACTTGGTCACCAAATTTTGGAGATGCTCCCAATATAAAGACCTTTGAGCACTGGCTATAACATTTATGCAAGTGCAGTCATAATAGCTAACAGTGACCATGTGCTTACTATTCTGAGGCACTGTGCTAAGCCTTTTGTATACACCATCTCATGGGATCCTCACAGTAGCCTTAGGAGATAGTTGCTGTTTTTACCACATCTCCATTTTAGATGAGGCCACTGAGGCACAGAGAGGCTAAGAAACTGGCCCTAGGTCATGCAGTTAGGGAGTGGTAAAACCAGGATTGAAACCCAGGTGGTTTGCTTCCAGAGCCTTAGTCACTGTGCTTGTTTCTTCATAAATATTTTTGATAATTCAAATAAACCAGCTTTTGGAAAAGAATATAGAATATAGTTTTTAGAATGTAGTTTTCTAAATAAATCTTCTAAACTTATGAAAAGAAATGATCACTCACCTTCTAACTTTTCTCTCTTGCCAGGGAAAAGAAACACACTATTTACTTTTCTCTGCTTCTTAATCTCTTTTCTTTCATTTTCTCTGCCTCTGTCTCTTTGACATAAAATACTTCAGAGAGGTATAGATGCCATAGGATTGTGAAGAATATTGGGGGGAAAAAAGCACTGGACTGGAAATTAGGAGACCTAGATTCTAGTCATGATTTAAAATCAAAGTTGTGTATCCTTGGGCAAGTCACTTGATCCAGATTTCTGTTTCTAAATGTATACCATAAAGTTGGATTTGTGATTCAATGATTACTTAAGTGTATCTTGGAATATGCAGGACTGACTTATCTATATGATTTAATTGGGTTAGTTCAGCATGCCTGTCCACCTCCGATACTATTTATTACTTACCTTTTACTTTGTTTATAAACACCTTATCACACCAGAGTAGATCTTGTCCACCAGAAGAGGAACTCAACCCCAAGCTATAATAATATTTTTATTATGAATTGTGTCCTTTTGCTTTAATGAAAAATAATTGTCAATTCTTTTGTTTTAGAAATGACTAGGCTTCTGTTTGGTTTCTGTCTGAAACTGCTACTCAGATTGTTGGTGCTGTTCAGTTCAACATTTGTTGAATTCCTACAATGTGCTCGCCATTGAATTAGGTATTGAGAAGGCAACAATGAACTAGAAGTCAATTTCTTCTAAGAGTTTACAGTCTAGTCGAGGAGATAATAGTTTAACAAGTTGTTTCTACGTACTTGTGCAAGTGCTCCCTTATACAGAGGGTCTTGGAAACACAGAGGATTCATTGTCCAGTTTGGGAGACTGTGGGAAGTCTTTCTGAGGAGGTCACACTTGACGTGAGTTTTGGAGGATGAGTATAATTTAAGGGAAGAATGAACAATGAATTTAATACGTGAAAAGATTTTCAGTACTTTAAGAATTAGTATGTGGTGATCTGTCAACACAAATTTCATTGAAGTATTTGCTTTGATTTTCCTGTGATGTTGGACCAGAACAGCTTCTTGCTTTGAAGTTTTCTCTCCTTAGTGAATTATCTTTGTTCTTGGTGAAATACAATTGCAACAAGAGAATGTGTTGTAACTTTCCTTTGCAATCACAGCTCACTTTACTCCACACCTATTCATAGCAGAAAAGATGTTTATTTTTTAGGCCAGTGTCCATTTGACATTATCATCAAAAAGGAGTAAGATTTTCTGTAGACAGATGTTTACCAGACTGTGTTTCCCTAAATCCTTATCTACTGAAAATTGATAGATGTTGATTTTACAAACAGAGAGAGTTAGTGTGTGTGCGTGTGTGTGTGTGTGCATGCACGTGTGTCTGTGTTCTGGAGAAAAATAAGTTGGGTAAATGATGAGTTAAACAGGTTATTTATTACATGACTTATTAGAGAATTTAATATGATAATATATATTGGAATTTTAAGAAGAGGAGAGAATAGGCAGTTTCTTTAGCTTATGGGATCCTTTCTTTTTACAGAATATCTTGTGAGCCATCAGTGGAATGATTTGGAATGACTGCTCTGTCTAGACCAAGGTTTCTCAGCCTCAGTGCTGTTTGATACTTTGGGCTGAATGCCTCTTTGTTGGGGGTGGCTGTCCTGTGCATTGTTGGATGTTTAGCTGTATCCCTGGCCCCTACCCATTACATGTCAGTATCACCTCCCCCTGCAAGTTGTCACAAACAAAAAGGTCTCCAGAAGCTTGCAAATGTTTACTGGGGAGCAAAAACTCCCCCAGGTTGAGAACCACTGGTCTCCACTGTAAGTTCCTTGAAGGCAGAGGGGGCTCTTTTTCCTGAGTCCACAGTACAGGTTAGACATGTAATAAATGAGTAAATGTCTGTTGAAGAAATAAACTGGACTTTATGATCAAGAAATATCAGATTGTCCAAATTTTTAAAATATCAGGTTATAGACAAGAAAGTCTAGCATTATTGGTGTTGTTTCACTACTTAAATTAGCAATTAAATTGATAAATATAGCTGCTGTTTAATCTCCTACAGTCTGTGCAAACTATAATAAAGTAGATTAATTTGTGGAGGATTAATGGATCATCTCCAGCCTTAACAGGTGATGGCCCCCAGAGTTTAGAAATGGTACTAAGATGGTACTATTAAAATGCACATAATTTTATAAGCCTAGCTATGGATCTACTGATGCTGATAAAAGATTTTGTACAGTAGACTGCCTCTGAGATACAGTATACCTCATCATACTATATCTAATGTTGATGTCCTCCATATTCAAAACAATAGCAACATGGCAAAATATTTAGAAATCTAGAGAACCTTAGGTCAAAAGACATTCCAAACTCTTTATATCAGATTATGTTCAGTGAATAATAAGATCTCAGTGATTGTAGCTGTTACCAGCCCATCATCATCATGATCTGAAGGGAATGTTATCCTTCACAACCAAAGAGCACATCAAATGTCTTTCAATCTCTTCAGGGCCTCCAGCCAGCCTGTTTCAGCCACCTCGTCGTCCTGGCCTTGGAACTGTTGGAAAACCAATTCGACTGTTAGCCAATCATTTTCAGGTTCAGATTCCTAAAATAGATGTGTATCATTATGATGTCGACATTAAACCAGAAAAACGGCCTCGTAGAGTCAACAGGTAAGGCTTAGAAAGAGTAGACTTCTATGTGTATTTAAATACGTATACTTTATTTATTATGAATCTTATTCTTCCCTAAATTCATATAATATGTAGACTTTGTTTTTCTTAAGATGGTAAGTTTCCTGATAGCAGTTTTGCTGTCTTATGCTTGGGTATCCTCCACAGATTCTAGCAGAGTGCTGGAGACATCATTGTTCAATCAGTACATACTTAATGAATGAAGATGAAAGGTCTTTCTTTCATTGTCTAAAGGCAGCAGAAATGTATAAAAATAGATGAAGACATTGATGTCATTGGAAAATAGACATCTGGAAATTACAATTTTATTATTGTGTTGGATATGAGAAAAATATCAATGTAAAGACAGAAGAATTGTTTTGGCATTTTGAACAAAGTAAGCTCAGAGAGAAGCTCTGTTTAATTCTAGCATTATCCAAGAGGGGTCTAGATGAGATGATTTAAGCCTTGTGGTCTGTATGCCAGGAACTTACCAAGTATGAAGACATATCCCTGTAGCAGATAGTCTTACAGTGTTCTGAGATCACCCACATTCCTTTGCTCTGTTTCCACACTGGGATTTCAGGCAGTCTTTAATATTACAGTTCTTGTCTTTCCAAGGATACTCTTGCTGTTAAGTGAAATATTTTTTGCTGCTTGATTTTTTTTTTCTCATTATAGATTATTAGTTTGGCTTTCTGGCATAGTTCAATCTCATGCAAACCCTTTTTGGCTGTTGTATAACTGAGAGTGATAGTAATAGAAGTGGTGGTAGTGACTAACATTGATCCATTCAACATATGTTCTGTCGGGTGCTCACTGTGTGTCAGGTATTGTTCTGTGTTCCGGGAATACAACATGAACAAAACAGACAAACATTCCTGCCCTTGAGGAACTTTAATGAGGGAAAAGACCAAAAATACATGAATAAGCAAACAAAACATATTATTTGATAGTTGGTGATAAGTGCTGTGAAGAAAAGTAAAACTGGGATAGAATATGAGGTGGGAGTTAGCCACTGATTATATATGTTGTAATTGTATATATAGTGTGTATGTATATGATATGCATATGCATATATATTGCACGTATTATGTAAGATGTGTATGCATATATACATATATATGTACATGTGTATATATATGTATATACAGATAATGTTTTAAAAGAGTAGTTAGGGAAGGTCTCACTGAAAAGTGATATTTGGGGAGAAACCTACAGGAGGTGAGGGGTATCTGCATGAAGAGAATCCTGGACAGAGGCAGCAGCTTGCACTGTATATTCAAGGTACATCAGATAAGGCCTGTATTGCTGGAATGAGTGAGGGGGAGAGTGATGCGGGTTGAGGTTAGAGAAATTCTAAAGGGCCCTCACATGCAGAGTCTTGTAGGTAGTCATGGGACTTTAGTGTTTACTCTGATTAAATGGGTTTTGACATTTGATGTGACTAACTTAGATTTTTAATGTATCATTCTGGCTGCTGTGTTAAAAATGAGCCGTAGCAGGTAAGGGTGAAAAGCAAGGAAATCAATTCAGAGGCACTTGTAGTGATTCAGGTGAAAAGTAATGGTGGCTTGAACTTGGGTGGTACAAGTGGTAGTGAAAAGAAGTGGTCAGATACTACAAATAGTTTAAAGGTAGTGTCAACAAGATTTGTTCACGGATTGAACATGAGGTGTGTGAGAAAGTAATGAGTCATGGTTGATTCCAGAGGTTTTGTCCTGAGCAAATGGAAAAATGGAGTTGCCGTTTATCAGGGTGGGGACAACTATGGGAGAAAGCAATAGGGGTGACAGATTAGGAGATCTGTGTTTTGGACATGTTAGGATTGAGATGTCTGTAAGACATCCCCTTCAAGATGTTAAGCAGGAAGTTGGATGTTTTGGACAGAACCAAATGTCCTGCGAGGAACAGGCTTATTGTGTGACAAAGCACCTCATAAAAACGTGAGGTTGGATTCAGGGGAGAGGTCCAGGCTGGAGACAAATGTTTGAGAGTCATCAGCATATTGGTGATATAGCCACAAGGTTGGTTGAGAACTTGTAGAAAGTGAATGTGGTTAGAGAAAATAAGACTCCAAGACTGAGTCCCAACGTAACCTAATATTTAAAAATTAGGGAGATGAGCAAAAATCAGTGAGGAGACTGGCATGGAGAGGCCACTTGGATGGGAGAAAACCAGGACAGAGTGAGAAGGCAAGAGAAGATGGTTTTTTTTTCTTCTTTTTTCTTATCCTTTTTTTTTATTGATTTATAATCATTTTACAAGAGAAGATGTTTTAAGTGAAAGAATTGATCATCTAATGTTTGAGGAGTGTTGAATTTCACAATGTGAAGCTCACCAGGGACCTAGACAAGAGCAGTTTTGATGGAGGAAAAACCTCATTTGAGAAGATTGAAGAGGGAAAGGAGAAGAACAATTAGAGACAACTCCTTCAAGGGATTTTGATGCAATGGAGAGCCGAGAACTGGAATGTCCAGATTAGGAGGATGTGGGATCAAGGAAGTTTTTTTTTTTTTCAAGATGAGAGAAATTATAGCATATTTGTATGCTAAAGGGAATCATTCAGTAGAGTGGAAAAAAATTGATGATTCAGGAGAGAGGAAGATTCCTGGAGTGATATCCTTGAGCATACCAGAGGAAATAGGCTGGTTAGCAGACATATTGTCTTGTCCAAAACATCTATAAAACATTTGTTCCACATCAAAAGGTCCCTGAAATTTGGTCCTATTCAAAACATCCATGAGTATATTTGACCCATGCCAAATGGCTTTGGACAGAACTGAATATCAAGGACCCTTTGGTGTGGACCAAATGTCTCCATGGACAGTTTGGACAGGACTAGGAAAGACTGAATATTAAGGACCTTTTGGCATGGACTAAATACCTTATGGACCAAATATCTTGTGGGTGTTTTGGACAGGACCAAATGTCCCGCAAGGAGCAGGCTTATGTAACAAGCACTGTTCTACATACTCAATGTGTATTTATTCGCTTAATGTAAGAACTTTGGTGGAAGATATTATGATTACCATAATTCTACAAATGAAGAAACAGATGTGGAAGATTAAGTAACTTGTCCAAGGTCATACAGCTCTGCCATTTAATCATTGTGTGACCAGGGGTAGGCCTCTTACCCATTCTGAATTTTTATTTTTTCTTTTTAATATGAAGATAATAATCATTGCCCTACTTGTCTCACAAGGTTGTTGTGCAGGTTAAATGAAAACAGAGGTGAAAATATGCTTTTACTGTAAAACTCTTTATGGTTATATTTTAAGAATGTAGGATGAGAAATTACCCTTCCACTGAAAATGTATTGTTCTTAAGTCAGCTTTTTATAATTAGAATGTGTAAGACTACATTTATCTATCAGTTTTTATTTTTAGTTGCCTGGTGTGGTTTGAAAACATGTGGCTTACCCAAAGATTTCATTTGTAATAATATTTATGCCTTTAGCTAGTTGTGATATATTTTGGCTTTTAAGATACAGTCCCCACACATGGGGCTCACTAGTGTTGCTAAGACATAGCACCTGACTTTTCACTGACTCTGGCATTCCAAAATCTCACAGACTCAGACCTGTCCATCTTAAACTGTAGACTCTTGTTTCCCCACAACTGCGTTTATTTCAGGTCCTGCATACAGTGTGATCTGGCATGTATGCAAAAACACTTAAATAAAGCTCTTTGTGCTTGATTGAGAGCAAGGCTTTCATTCTAAAAAGAAAGAAATTACATTGGTAATCTTTATGAACTGAGGATATTTTATCACGTTCTCTTTATACTACTTGGGAGCAGTTTAGAATAAAACAAGACAGTATGCAGAATAATAAATTACTAACATTAGTCAAAAGGGTTGACTTATTCCTTTGCATGCATTCCGATGCATATTAAATTTATTGATCCTCAGATTTCTGAATTTCTGCCCACTTTCTTTTCCAAAGCCAGTATACTTGAATAAGAATGCTTATTTGATGACAAACTTATCCTTCAATTATAAGCATGCCAAACTTGGATACCTAAGATAGGTTATTCTTACAAGGCTATGTTTATGATAGGAGAGGATTTTGGAAAGCAGGAATTGGGAGGATGCTATAAATTTTATTCTCATTTTCCTTTTATTCCTCTCTTTCTGTTATCTTGTAGTTGCTTTTGTTCACTTGCCTACCTTTCTTTAGTTAACTTTTTTTTTAATTACTTGAGTCAGTTGTAACTTTAACTCTTACTTTTTCCAAAGAGTTTTGAACTGAATGTAGATGATTAAGTTATGGTGAGAGTTTCCTTACTGTTTGCCATTTCTTAGCACTAACCTCTACTGTCTCCATTACCGTTAAGGGAGGTAGTGGATACAATGGTGCGGCACTTCAAGATGCAAATATTTGGTGACCGGCAGCCTGGCTATGATGGCAAAAGAAACATGTACACAGCACATCCACTGCCAATTGGACGGGATAGGGTAAGTGTTAACAGCAAGAAACATTTATTAGACTTAGGTCACTTAGTAGTAATTACATAGGACAAAAATGTTTCCCTTGCTAATAACAGTTCAATTCTTAAAAGTTGTTTCTCTTGGTGATGATAGATTTGTTATTCTGTCTGTATTCTCTTGTCCCTTAGTTAATGATTGATTATGTCATCTTTCCATATATTCCAAATTTCTCGTGATGTTAAAGTGCTACCTAAATCTGAACAATGGAGTTTTTATTACTGGTAGATTATATAACACCCTTTTATGAAAATATTTATAATACCACAATAACTTTTTAAGACATCTATTTTTAAAATTAGAAAAGCAATGCATAAATATATACTCATTATAAAACTTATTCAGGCAATCTAGGAATGCTATGGTTTCCTGCCTCCCCACCTGCCTGCACCCTCAATCCCATTTTTCTTTTCAGAGGAAACTACTATAATAGTTTGGTATGTATCCTTTCAGATATTTTTATGTACATTAGCTATTTATGCATATGTTTATATGTATTCTTATTTGTTTGCATATTGTTCTATGATTTATTTTCTCATTTAATAATATGCCTGGGAGATTTTTCCATTTGTATACATTTTAATCTACCTTATTTTTTAACTTACATTTTTATTATGGTCAAGTATTTATAACATAAAATTTACTATTTTAACCATTTTAAAGTGTACAATTCAGTGGCATTAAGCATATTCATGTTGTTATGCAACCGTGACCACTATCCATCTCTAGAGCTTTTCATCATCCCAAACTGAAACTCTGTACCCATTAAATAACTCCCCATTTCCTCCTCCCCCAGTCCCTGGTAACCACTATTCTACTTTCTGTCTCTATGAATTTAATTATTCTAGGTATCTTATATAACTGGAATCATATAATATTTGTCATTTTGTGCCTGGCTATTTCACTTAGCATAATGTTTTCAAAGTTCATCCATGTTGTAGCATATACTTTGTTTTTAACTGTTACATAATATTCAATATTAAATTATTCCCCTACTGATGGAACACAGGTTGTTTCCAATGTTTTGCAATTACAGAAAGTGTTAAAATAAATATCCTTATGCATATACTATATTGAACAGCCTTTGTAAATAGGTATGTATATGTACTTTCCCTTAGGTTGATATGGAAGTGACCCTTCCAGGTGAGGGTAAAGACCAAACCTTTAAAGTGTCTGTTCAGTGGGTGTCAGTTGTGAGCCTTCAGTTACTTTTAGAAGCTTTGGCCGGGCACTTGAATGAAGTCCCAGATGACTCAGTACAAGCACTTGATGTTATCACAAGACACCTTCCCTCCATGAGGTTAGTACCTTAGTTTGAATTCTTTGCTATAAATGTCAGACTCTTTTTGGTAGGTTGCAGGAAGCCATTGAAAGTTTTCTTCATAAGTCATAGTTCAAACTTGGTTTCAGTTTACAGAACTGAGAATGAAATGAAAGACCTTTCAAGTTTTTATTGTGAAACATGCAAACTCTTGTTCTTTCAGGTACACTCCGGTGGGGCGCTCCTTTTTCTCACCTCCAGAGGGTTACTACCACCCTCTGGGAGGGGGCAGGGAGGTTTGGTTTGGCTTTCATCAGTCTGTGAGACCTGCCATGTGGAATATGATGCTCAATATTGACGGTAGAATGGGATTCTTTTTACCCTTTATTCTTTTTACTTTTTTTTTTTTTTGATCCTTTCCCTTTCCTGGAAGCTAAGTATCCTTCTTCTTTGTTTGTTAGTATCTGCAACTGCTTTCTATCGGGCTCAGCCTATCATTGAGTTCATGTGTGAGGTTTTAGACATTCAGAACATCAATGAACAGACCAAACCTCTAACAGACTCCCAGCGTGTCAAGTTTACCAAAGAAATCAGAGGTAGGTATTTGCATTACTGTAGTCTTCTGAGGCAGCTCAGCATGGTGCAAGGAGCATGGTCTTGGAGTCAGACACACCTGGGCTTCCATTCCATCCCAGTCAGTTCTATCATTGCAACCTCGGGCAAGTTACTTAGTCGCTGTAAGCCATAGTTTATTCATCTCTAAGTTAAAGATAAGTATCTTGTAAGATTGCTGTGAGAATTAAATGCAACTAGATGTATAAAGCTTCTAGCACACTATTTGACACGTATCAGGTACTTAGTAAGTATTATTCTTACTTACTTGAAAACTTCCATTTTAATGAAATAAGACAAGTTCATTTATTCTCCTCTGAGAAATTCTTTTTTCCCTTACTTGTTTTTAGCTGTCTTCTCTCATTAGACTGTAAACTTCATTAGGGCTGTCTCCAGACCCAAGAATAAGCACAAAGCACAGCTGATGCTTAATAGATATTTATTGAATGACGCAATACATTAAAGTAGGTTGCAAATCTTAAGTCATCTGGGTTCTAATTTTTTTCTGCTTGGCAGAAGCTTTTTTGCCTATACATGATGAAATAGTTCCCATATCCTTGCAACTTTTGTCCTGTGCAATGTCAAACCTTTCCGAAGACAACATTCAAATCATTTTTTTCTGTCTCTGTGATTTTAATTAATACTGTTTTGATCTTTTTTTTTTTTAACTTCAGGTCTTAAAGTTGAAGTAACCCACTGTGGACAGATGAAACGAAAATATCGAGTTTGTAATGTGACTAGACGGCCAGCCAGTCATCAAACGTATGTTAACCGCATCTAAAATAATGCCATTATGTTTTTGGTAACAGAGGAAGCTAGCATAATCATTTGAGAAATTAGGATCCCATATTGTAATTTTAAAAATCACTGAAATCTTCACTTTTAAGCACTCAAGCTTAAAAAAATTTTAAATATTTTTGTTAGAGCTCTTTATAAAACGTATTTCCTGCCTTTAATTCATTTCACCTCTTAGAGTAAGCTGAAACATAGATTAACTTTTATATAATCATCCAGAGTCATTGTTATAACATCGTTTATTATAGTTTTGTAATTCTCAGGGCATGGCCGGAAGGATCTATTAAGTCATAAAGGCTGTCATGGGAAGATATGTATTGCTTTATGTTTTATGTGGACTTTTCTTCCTCCTTTTGTAGCTAGCTGTCACGTCTTCCCAGCTGTCCGTGTGTATGGCATGCCTCCAGCAGCACACTCATTTTCACTCCTCCAGTCTCATTTTTCTAATCACTCAACTTCTCATTTACTGTGAACTATGCCTAATGAGAAAATACATATGCAAATGCTTTTTAAATGACCGTATCTGTAAGTTTTATTCTTGTAATCATTATCATTAAACTCATGTCTGACAGAAACATAAATATTGGCTCTTCTAAGTAAAAAGCATAAACTTGACTATATAAATTTTATACTATTTTACTTACTCAGAAGACTTTTTCAAACAAGTGTACATCAAAATCACCTGGAGGGCTTTGTTCTAGATAGTTGAAATTTTGAGGTGACCTCTGAATAGATACAGTATATTAATTAGTCTGATTTGAATAAATTATTCAGTACAAACTCATGTACACATCATTTGAATTTCTTGAGTTGTAAAGTGACATTTCATGTATTCTTCGTGTTATATCATTGACTTTATTCTCTAGGGAAAAAAAATGTTACCAAGGCCTTATGAGGTCACTATTGAGAATTGGGCCATTTGTTTCAAAAAGAACTGTGTCATAGTCATTTTAAATGACTATAACTCAATAAAAAATGTTTATATATATATATATAAAGCTCCTGGCATAGAGTAACCATTAAAAAAAAAACTGTATCTTTTTCATTATTTACTTACTTCACATAACCCTGTAAGAATAATTATACTTATGGAACTATGTAATCTTTGCATGAAAATTAAAAGCACATCAATTTAAATGTCTCATAGATAATCCTCAATGCATTGTTACTTTGTGGGGGGCATTAACAGGTAAAAAAGCAAAGTTAAAGTTATTATTATGCCAAGTGTTTGAGATAATTTGTCAACTGGAAGAGCCAAAGAAGGAGAGTTTCTTAAATCATGCTCCCCAGTTTATACCAAATATCTTCACACAGTCTCGAGTTCGTGTATTTGGTCTTGTGGCCTCCAAATCCACATATATTTGTCCTGGTTTGGGGATCTGACTGTGTGGCCCCAGTAACTATGATATACCAAAAGTTCTCTTAAGCAAATGAAACATGTGGATGATCCAGGACCTTATTTGAATCTAATCATCTCTAAGAAGCCAGCAAGAGATTTTACTTGAATCTAATCATCTCTTAAGAAGCCAGCAAGAGATTTTATTTGTATCTGTAGGTGTTAACTGACCTCTAATGAGTCTCTGTATTTTCTGGTTCTGCAGCTGCTTCTTGTTTTAAATTCTTTTTCCATTTTCTTTTTTTTTTTTAGGAGTAGTAATTTGGTTTGTTTGTTTGTTTATTTATTAATGGTGGTACTGGGGATTGAACTCAGGACCTCATGCATGCTAAACACACACTCTACCACTGAACTGTACCCTTCCCCCCTTTTCCGTATTAATTAAAAATTATTTTCCTCCTAGCTTCTAGAAACATGGAAAATTCCAACAGAGTTGCTGTCCTGATTAAATACTAGTGAAAATGGCCAGATAAAGATTGACTTTTGTTTTTCAAGTGATTAGTCAAGGTAGAAAATGTTAGTAGGCTTTTGTTTGTTTGTTTCAAAAAAAAAAGTGAAGAAATTTCTAAAAAAGACATTCTCTCCTATAGTTTTCCCTTACAGCTAGAAAATGGCCAAGCTATGGAATGTACAGTAGCTCAATATTTTAAGCAAAAGTATAGTCTGCAGCTGAAATATCCCCATCTTCCCTGTCTCCAAGTGGGACAAGAACAAAAGCATACATACTTGCCACTTGAGGTAAGCTAAACAAAATTTTCTTTTGCCAATCTATAATCTCTTGAATGAGTTTAAGAGAAAAAAAGAGTCATGTTCTAAACTAATTTTAGAATTTAGTATTAATTTTAAAATATATTGTACAGATAGCTTCAGTATATAACAGAATTTTCTTTCTTTTTTTTTTTTTTTTCGGAAATGGAAGATGTAAGATACTGTTCAGCAAAGGCTTAAGATACAGAAGCCCATTACACAAACTGATTCCGCTTTGCCTCTTGGTAGGTCTGTAATATAGTGGCAGGACAGCGATGTATAAAGAAGCTCACAGACAATCAGACTTCTACGATGATCAAAGCCACAGCAAGATCTGCTCCTGACAGACAGGAAGAAATCAGTAGACTGGTCAGTAAGGCATGGTCTTTAAGATAAGCTAGCTTTCAGATGAAAAAAAAAAAACCAATAGAAAACTCCTGATGGGACACAGTTACTCTTTGGGTTTTTATATATGCAGGCTTTCCTGTTCTTTAGGTGAAGAGTAACAGCATGGTGGGTGGACCTGATCCATACCTTAAAGAATTTGGTATTGTTGTCCACAATGAAATGACAGAGCTCACAGGCAGGGTACTTCCAGCACCAATGCTGCAGTATGGAGGCCGGGTAAGCCTTTTATTTTATTCAGCAAGCTTCTTCCAACAACCAGTCAAAAAGAGATGAATCCAGGGTTTTTCCACAACACCGCAGTGAATTTACCCATAGTTTTACTCATTATTGCTTTTTGTCTTTTGACTAATACCAAGTAGAGTTTTGTCTATCCCCTCATCAACTTTAAAATGGCCTTAGATTGTAATGTCTTTTCTCTTTTCTTTTGTTTCTTTTTTGTTTTTTGTTTTTTGTTTTTAAAGAATAAAACGGTAGCCACACCCAACCAGGGTGTCTGGGACATGCGAGGAAAGCAGTTTTATGCTGGCATTGAAATTAAAGTTTGGGCAGTTGCTTGTTTTGCGCCTCAGAAACAATGTAGGGAAGATTTACTAAAGTGAGTATCTTCATATTTTCAGCTTAGTAATATCCCTTCCAGATATGAAAATACCATCTTTATGTGAATGTGCTGTGTGCACTGGCACTGAATCCCTGACTCCTATAGTGACACCATCTGGCTGTAGGAAAAAGACCTTGTTCTTATAGTAAATTGCAAATGGGAATTATGTTAAGAATCTGACTCAGCTTCCTACATTTAGCGCAGAAATTTGTGACTAACAAGGCTGAAGCAGTGCCGGTTGGCAAATCCTTGAGTTCTTAGTGAAGCTTTCTTTGGGATTAATTGTATCTTTTCAGCTAAGAGAAAAACTAGTTCATTTTTAATCATTATAATTTACTAGTGAGCTTGTTTCCTGCAAGGTCACTGACTAAGATCATTGGTTCACGTCTTACAGATGCAGTTATCTATATAAAGGAAGTTAATGAGAAAGGTGGAAAAAATCAAGGCAGGAAAAGGGAACTGGGATGAAAGAAAGGAATCCTACAAAATATTGGCAAATGCACAAAAGAAATTATTCTGAAAGCTTTATACATAGATTGAAGTAACTTCTCAAATCCAAATTAGAACTTCACAATGAATTTTGCTTTTTCATAAAGTGGTGATTTCTTTTGACATTGTTATTGAATCACATCTTTTACAAGTTTGAATGTAATCCTAAATATGCTAATTTTGTGACCATGTGTTTCCATGTTCTCAGTTGAACACAAGCTTACCCAATTATTTTTGTACCAGACTTACCACAGTACACATTATCTGCAATTTTGACCTTGTTTTTTTTCAGTCCAGAATTACTGACTTGAATGTTTTTTAAAAAATCTTTCTGCATTGTAATTGCAGTGATACAACTGCCAGTCTATTTTTGGCAACCAGTTAAAGATTTTTTTTATTTGTTTATTTGTTTGTTTCTAATTTTGGCTAAGAATTTACAGAACTGAAAGAAGTATCTTAGGGGGAAATAAATGCTAAGAATATACCCTGAAATGAAAGCACTGTGCCACTGGTTCTATTTTAACAGGAGTTTCACTGACCAGCTCCGTAAAATTTCTAAGGATGCTGGAATGCCTATCCAGGGTCAGCCATGTTTTTGCAAGTACGCGCAAGGTGCAGACAGCGTGGAGCCTATGTTTAAGCACCTGAAAATGACCTATGTGGGCCTACAGCTAATAGTGGTTATCTTGCCTGGGAAGACACCAGTATATGGTATGGACCCCTTTAATGTTGAATGAGATATAGCAGTCAGGATACCTAACTAGGTTATGGTGCAGTCACAAATAATCCTGAACTCTCAGTGGCTCAAAGCAATGGAAGTTTATCTTTTGCTCTTGCTGTGTGCCCATTGAGGGTAGACTGTGTCCTGTGCTCTGTATAATTTTCACTCTGAGACCCAGTTGCTACTTGGAATGTTGCTAGCCCCATGGCAGAGAGAAAAGAGAGCTCTGGAGGGTTCTTAACTTCTGCAGTTTTTGGCTGTGACTAGCTGAATGGCCCACCCAACCTATGTGGGGGAAGTGGGGGGGGGCAGGAAATGCAGTGGAAATGAGGGCCAGGGCATGCAGGGCAATTCTACCATCATCCCCAAAGCAGAGAGACTAGGACTGTCTTGTGGAAAGCACTTAGGCATATCAGCATGGGGGAGGCTATCACGTCCAGAAAGGGAGCTCCTTGGTTTGTATCTCTTTCAAGAAGGATGATACCAAAGTTCTTTTGGCTATCATCTAAGTAAAGGATTTGGAAACTACATAGACCAGCCATTTGAACTTTATAAAATGTATTCAACCCTCTCTATATTTGTTTCTTTTGTTGCCTTCTGTTTATCTTCAGTGTTTAGAGATGGGAAAAAGGAAGAAAAAAAACCTTAAAATTCAAAGGGCTGGTGTGTGTACTGAGAGGGAGGAGCTGGGAAGATTGATTCCTTTGCTAGACGGGTCCTGTGGGAAGAGGAACCTCAAGGGACAGAGTGAGTGGTGGCAGGCAGTGGAAGAATAAAGGAAGTGGGCTGGCTTTCAAGGCATACAGGAGGGAAGAAAAGGAAATGGGGAGGACCTACCCAAACTCAAAAAAAAAAAAAATTGCCCTTAGGGTTTAGCAGATGAAAGGACCACAGATGAAAAGCCTCTAGTACAGTGTACAGTATATAGTAGGCACTCTGTAAATGTTAATCTGTGGGAGGTTTCCCTCTACTTTAGGAGAATATATAAACATTTTAAAATTAATTAATAAGCTTATTTTTGTAGCGGAGGTGAAACGTGTTGGAGATACTCTCCTGGGTATGGCTACACAGTGTGTCCAGGTAAAAAATGTAGTGAAGACCTCACCTCAAACCCTTTCCAACCTTTGCCTGAAGATAAATGCAAAGCTTGGAGGAATTAACAACGTGCTCGTACCTCATCAAAGGTAGGATCCTGAACTCTGTTTTTCCTTTTTTTCTTAAGATCTAACTTATGTAATTTACAATAAAGTACACAAATCTCAAATATGCGTCTTGATTACCTTTATATACTTATATACTCATGTAACCACCTGCCAGGTTAAGATACAGAACACTTCCAGCACCTATTCAGCTCCCTTGTGGCCCCTCCCAATAGATAACCCCCAAAGGTACCACTCTGACTTCCAGCTCCATAGATTAGTTTTGCCTGTTTTTGAACTTCATATAAATGGAACCACACAGTATGTACTATTTTGTGTCTGTCTTCTTTTGCTCAGTATTATGCCTCTGAGATTCATTCACATTGCTGTTTTAAGTGGAAGTTTATTCTTCTTTGTTGGGTATTATTTCATTATATGCATATATGACAAATTCTTAGTTATTCTTGTACATTCATTAGACAAGTCGTCTACATTTTTGGTGGAATTAAGTACTCTTTCTCTTGTGTATTTATCTAAGAGTAGAATTGCTCAGTTATAGAAAATGTATGTATTTAGCTTTGGTGTATACTGTCAAATACAATTGTCCGCCTCCCCCCAATCCACAGTTTCACTTCCCACGGTTTCAGTTACCCGCAGTCAACCTCTGTTTGAAATGAAAAATTCCAGAAATGAACAGTTCATAAGTTTTAAATTGCATGCTGTTTTGAGTAGCATGATGAAATCTCGAACTGTCTCTCTCTGTCCAGCCGTGGATGTGAATCATCCCTTTGTCTGGCATATTCACACTGTATATGCTACCCATTAGTATAGGAGAAGCTATGGTATATTTAGAGTTTGGCACTGTCTACAGTTCCAGGCAGCCACCGGGAATCTTGGATCATATCCCCTGCAAATAAGAGGGCACTGTAGTATTCCAAAGTGGCCATACCGATTCACCACCTCCACTGAGAGTTCTAGCTACTCATGTTCTTGCCAACACTTGGTGATAGCAGTCTTTTCAGTTTTAGCCATTTTGGTTAGGGTAAGAGTATTTCATTATGATTTTAATTTCCATTCCTCTGATAGTTAAAGCATATTGAGCACGTTTTCATATGCTTATTGGTTATGTGGGCATCCTCTTCTGTGATGGACCTGTTCAGTCCTTTCCCCATTTCTTAGATTGGGTTGCTCTGTATTAATTTGTAGTGTTGTTTATGTTTTGAAGTAATGTCTGACTTGTCAACCCTAAAATATTTTTATGTGAAATCCTGTATGTGAAAGTGATTCAGAAAGTTAAATTTGGGCTGCGATCTTAGTCATTGCCATGCTTGAGAAGAAGGAGAACTTGATTACCTTAGTCTTGCACAGTCAGGTCACAGTTCTCATGTGTGTCCTTGAATGAACTTCTAGGTAAATAAATTCTTCCTGAAACATTGGTAGATGAGGTGTACAGGCCATAGGGGAAGTTAACCTAAAGCATGATTTAACTTCACCCCAAATACTGTAACATAGCAGCATAGAATGCATACGTTTTTGTTAGACTTACTGGGTTTGGATTCCAGTTTTCTCATTTCCTAGCTGTATCATCTTGAGCAATTTCCTTATCCTCTTATATCTTATTTTTTTTAAATCTGGAAAATTAAGATGATAATTGTACCACCTTCATAGAATTGTTGTAAGGACTAAATGAATCCGTCCATGTAAAGAACCTAGCACAGTGGCTGGTACATAATATATGTAATATATGTTCTGTATATGTATGTTTTATATACATATTATTCATATATTATATATACACACACACTCTTATACCGTTCTGTGCCAAGCCCATGTTGTATGATGATATAGATAGAGAAATACAATACAGTCTTTGTCCTCATAGAAGTTCATCTTTAGTACCTATTACATGAGATTGTGAGATTTTGAGTGCCTCCTAGATTATACTTTAAAAATCAATACTTGCAGTCTCAAATCTTACCTTTAAGAATTCATCAAAGAAGCATGTATGATATTTTTCTCCTTGGTTCCTTCAATGGAGAAATCAGTGCCAGATAAATGAATTTGTTCTTTCAACAAATATTAGTTGAATGCCAGCTGGGAGCTAGGCAGTGTTCTAGGCATGAGGGATACATACAGCAGTAAACAAGACAAAGCAAAACAGAATTCCTGCCTTCATGGAGCTAATATTTGTATGTGTGTGGGGGTGGGTTAATTTGGTAAATAAATTACGTAAGTAAAATATGTGGTAAAAATGATAAACACTACCGAGAAAAATAAAATAGGGATGGAAATAGACTTTATTATCTTCCTTAAGTCTCACATCTTGGGGATTTTGTCACAGTGCCATGTGCATCCTGCAATTTTGTATCCATTGTAGAAATCCTAGGATCCCAAGAGAGGCTGTTCTGGGAAGTTTTTCCCTTTACACACAGAGATTTTGTTAAATTTGGGTCAAGTCCTCTTCTTGATTCTTCCCTTCCTAGTATTACAGAAGAACCATGTTGGCTTCTTCAGTCAATTCAGATTCATTGTACTGGGTGGCACAGCTACTCAATGGGCCTTAGAGTTCTCTCTCAAAGGGCACAAGTCTTCATTCTCTCTTGTAAGATTGTATCTCTGATTGTATCTGGTGAGCTTGCTAAACGAAAACACTTGCAACTGTATGCCTGAGTGGCAATGTCTCCTTAAATCTGAGCAGGCCCTCGGTGTTCCAGCAGCCCGTCATCTTCCTGGGAGCAGATGTCACGCACCCCCCAGCAGGGGATGGGAAGAAGCCTTCCATCGCAGCAGTGGTTGGCAGTATGGACGGCCATCCCAGCCGGTACTGTGCCACCGTTCGGGTGCAGACCTCCCGCCAGGAGATCTCTCAGGAGCTCCTCTATAGTCAGGAGGTAATCCAGGACCTCACTAACATGGTTCGAGAGCTGCTGATCCAGTTCTACAAATCCACACGCTTCAAACCCACTCGGATCATCTATTACCGTGGAGGGGTATCCGAGGGACAGATGAAACAGGTATTCTCATTATCCTACACTTGCCCCCTGGGGCTTCTAGGTGTCTGATGGAGCTTCCTTCCATCTGCCACTCTGGGTAAATCAGATCTGAGAGATACCTGAGAGATATCTGAGAGATAAACAAGTTCTCAATTAAACATCATTCCATTTCTAACTCCTAGGTAGCTTGGCCAGAACTAATAGCAATTCGAAAGGCATGTATTAGCTTGGAAGAAGATTACCGGCCAGGAATAACCTATATTGTGGTGCAGAAAAGACATCACACACGACTCTTCTGTGCAGATAAAACAGAAAGGGTAAGAACACATAAGATAAGCTTTATCATCTGATGCAAGTGAATGTGTTTTTTTGTTGTTTGTTTTTTTGTTTTTTTAACATTTTTTATTGATTTATAATCATTTTACAATGTTGTGTCAAATTCCAGTGTTCAGCACAATTTTTCAGTCATTCATGGACATATACACACTCACTGTCACATTTTTTTCTCTGTGAGTTATCATAACATTTTGTGTATATTTCCCTGTGCTATACAGTGTAATCTTGTTTATCTATTCTACAATTTTGAAATCCCAGTCTATCCCTTCCCACCCTTGAATGTGTTTTTGAGTAGGCATACATACAATTTTTCTCCTAAAAGCAGAAGTGCCTAATAATATTTTAATGAATATACTGACTCCAATTGAGGTTAGATGAGCAATTCTAAATGATACAGGTTTCAAGACTGAGTATTTCTCTTATGTGACATAAATACTTGTTTCTAGGGTCCTTAGGTGGCGGGGGGTAGGAGGGAGTTGGAGGTAAAAACATGCCAGGTACACTATGGTGATGCAGGCAGCCTCCAAAGGGAAGGTTTATCTATTTGGACTTTATTGCCATTTGCTTCTTTTTCCTACCAGTGCCTAAGGCATTGTTCTAGGATGTAAAGAAGAATTTCTCTTCCAAATGATTTTACATTGGTGCACGGGATTCTTAGGGTACACACTCCGAACACCTGTGATGTCACACTTACTAACCATGGGCGAGTTAACTTCTCTAAGCCATAATGTTCTCAACTGTAAAGTGTGATAAGATCAATCTCTATCTCACAAGGTTATTATTAAGGATTAAATTAGTAAATGAATGTCAATTTGGGGTACAGTTTCCAGCATTTGATAAAAGGCATTTTGGATAACCTATTTATAATCTGATATTGTGTATAAACTAGGAAAATTTTAGGTACATAATGTTGGATGACTTTACTTCTATGATCTTTTCTATGACATCATCTTTTCCAGACCCTCCCTGATCTACCTCAAGAGAGACCAGTTCTTTCTGTTACCTAATCTTGTGGGTCACTCCCACTATTTTCTAATACATTCTTAGTTTTTGTCTCTAATCCAAGGCTAAGCTGTTTCTTCTTGTTTTCAGAATCATTGGAGAACTAAGATTTTCTCCTTGGGCCCCAGTTCCACCAATCACCCAAACTCTGACTTGGTAATACTTCTTAGATTCTGCTAATACAAATTCTCTTAACTCCTGCCCGAGCTCTGAGCACAGAACATCCTGGCACCGCTCCTTAACTGGGTTGTCACTCTCCATCCCTCTGTCAGTTTGCTGTTAATGTAACTTTAGGACCTGGATTATCTTTCTGAAACCCCAAGATATCTCATAGCTTTGTTCTTTACCGTCCAGTGTCATTCCTGACCTTTGAAGATTGACAGTCCCAATCCTTGGTCTGCTTTGTACCCCTGACACTTACTAACATCTTCAGTTCTCTAAACATGCCTCTTGCCAGTCTCCAGCTCTGACTTAGTGCACTTGCCCTTTCCTTTCCTTCTACTCTTAGGCTGATAGAGGTTGCTGAGGAAGAAAAGTCATTTATTTAACAATAAACCATATTACAGGTTTGTGATAGGAAATCTCAGCTAGGCCTTTGATGCTGTAATTGTTTTCATTTATTATATTTCCCCATAGCATCTGTTCCAAACCTTTATCCTCTTCTCAGATCCCCAGACCTATCCATAAGGGCTTCATTGCCAGCAATTTACATTGCCATCAGTAGAACAATCTTCTGTTTCCTCCAGAAAACAAAATCTGGAAGACATGGATTTTTCTCAGCTTCTTCTCCTCTGCATTCAAATTTAGCTAAGTTTTGTGTTTTATCTTCTTCCTTGAATCTCTGAGGCTAATCTCTCCATCTATGTGTTCTGCCCTCCCACCTATGCTTTTCTTAAACTTTCTGCCTTCTCTAGAGCCTCACTTCATTAATAACCCATTATTTTTCAAAATTTCAATTTTCCTCCGTCTATTGCCTCCCTCTCCTCACTCTCTAAAGTTTCTCAGCCCTTCCACAGGCACCCCCAAAACTTCCCTTCACTCTGCTTCTCCTTCAGCCCACCTGTCATCTTTTCTTTCCTCCCTTTCATGACCAGACTTTTAGAAAAAAAAAGACTTGATTTTTTTTTCTGTACTTCCTCACATCATACTTCACTTCTCTGTAGCCTAACTTTGATTTCAGCGACTCCACTGAAGTTGTTCTCTCAATGACTTGCTCATTTTGAATCCAGCGATGTCTTGTCAAGTCCCCATACTGACTTCTTCGCATCACTTACGGACAGTTGCCTTCTTTGGCCTTAGCAGTGTGACTTTCCAGGTTCACTAGCCACCTCTGTAATTAGGCTTTCTTTGACTCCTCTTCCTCGTCTGTCCATTAAACCCTGATGTTACCTGGCATTTCGTATTTCTCTCTGACTTCTCAATTTTGACTCTCTTTATTATATGAGACTTATTTACTTATAGATTGCTAAATCTGTACTTCTAGCCCCAGATTTTCTATGCAGCTCCTGCTCTGCCCTTCTAATTGTCTACCCGTTTACTTAGATGCTCTGTAGGCATTGTATCAGTCAAGATAGGCCAGGCTGTGCTGTGGTAACAAAAGACTCCAAAGTCTTAGTGGCTTACAAAGATTTGTTTCTTGCTCATATTACACATTCATTGTGGCTGCAGCTGTGACTCCACTGTCTTCCCTTTGGAGCCTAGGCTGACAGAGGAGCATCTATCTGGAACATCGCCAGTCATTGTAACAGAGGGGAGAAAAGATACATGACAAGCCACATGCTGGCTCTTAAAGCTTCTGCCCAGAAGTAACACATTTCAGGCTACATTTTATCAGCCAAAGGAAGTTTCATGGCCACTCCTGAGTTAATTGGGTGGGGATGTATAATCCTCCTCCAGGGAGGAGCAGCAGAATATTTGGCACCAGTGATACAATCCACCACAGACATTTCAAGCAAAGCACGTCTAAACCTTCTCCTTATTGTTTTATCCTCATCTGAAACCTATTCCTCCCCCAGTTTTTCTCTTCATCTATTGCTTGACATCACTGTATATTAATCAGCCAAGCTAGAAACTTCAGAGTTGTCTTTAAATTCTTCTCCTCTGTTCATGTCCCCCCTTTCCATGTTCAGTTGGTCAAATAGTCCTCTGTGTTCTGCCCTGAAATCTCTTGTCTCAGTTGTTCCTCTTGTGTGTTTCATCTGCCCTAGGCAGAACTCTGAGGCTTTGCAGGCATTCGACACCCTCCACCAGCTGTCAGGGCTAGGTTTTTTAAACAAAGGTTTTGTCTTGCCACTCCACTGTTCAGAAAATCTTCATATATCCCCCATTGCCTACCAAATGCTGTCTTATGGTGTTCCATGTTTTCCCAAGGTAGCCAAAATGTAGCATTTTAGTTTGATCTTTCATCATGTCCTCATTCACCTTCCATTAGCAATATGACTGTTTCCATTTCCTATATACGTTGTGTATTTTTATCCCTGGAATGACCACATCCATCCTACCCTTTTTTCCCATTGTTTTTATTAAGATATAGATAGAGTAAAGTTACTATTTTTACTGTACTGTTCTGTAAGTTTTGGCAAATTCATATAGCTGTGTGACCACCAGCTTAAAAAACTTATAGAATGATTCCATCACACACAACAATTTTCTCATGCCCTTTGGTAGTCAGCCTTTCCCCCCACCTACAGTCCCTGACAACCACTGATGTATATTCTGTCTCTGTAGTTTTGTTTTTCCCAGGATGTCATATGAAAAGAAGTCATAGCCTTTGTCTGGCTTCTTTTACTTAGCATAATGTATTTGAGATTCATCTGAGTCATTGTGTGTATCAATAGCTTGTTCCTTTTTGTTGCTTTGTAGTATTTTGTGATACAGATGAACCACAGTTTATCCATTCCTGACTTTAAGGATTATTTGAAATGTTTCACATTTTTATTCCATCCCCACTTTCAACCCTACTTATCCTATAAGGCATGGCTCAACCATTCCCTCCTACCAACTTTTCCCAGTGCCTTCCATAAGGCCCTTATTACATTGCATTGCAGTTCATTGCATATGGTTTTCATGAAGGGCAGGAGGGCAAGTTCATTAGTTCTCTCTGTTCCTTTGTCTCTTATCCCCAACATTTGCTGCAGAGCCTCACACGTGGTGTTCAAGCGATAATGTTTGAAATGAACATGCTGGACCACCCCCCACTTTTGCCCCAGGGCAGCCCCTCTTTAGGCTCTCATCTGTAGATTCCAGAAGATTTTTAAAAAAGGGATTCTACAATCAAATAAGTGTGGGAAACGCTTTATACTCTGTCTCCCTATTAAAAATTATACATTATTAGATAAAGGTTCTAAGAAGTCATATAATAGAAAAGCCTTTTAACTTTGGTTTAGCCCAGTATTACTCAATTTTATTTGACCATAAAAGACCTAAACACATCCTGCAGAACTAATATTCCTAAGTCACACACTTTGGGAAACAATGCTAGAACAATTGTAACTCACTTACATTTCCCCTTGTCCAGCTGGGTACCCAAGATCACATATGGAATTTGATGGAATGAGACTTCTCTGTACTCATGTATATTATTATATGCATTGAGATATGATCTTCAGCTGACAATAGTTAGAATGGAGCCAAATAAATTCCCATCAAATTTGTGCCAGTATGCTAAGTGAACTTCCTTATATGGAGCCCTGCTGTGCATCAGAAGTGGATGCAAACTCACCAAATAAAATAGCAAGATTTAATTCCTTTCCTTGCAAATATGTTTCTGAAATTCCCCTCTCTGCTTTTCCAGTTTGATTTTAGAGTTTGACCATAGAAGAACTTTAGAATTTTAAAAGTATAAGAGATAATCACCTAATTTTACAGATGATCAGATTGAGGCCCAAAGATACCATGCTTTGTTCAAGGCATGTAGTTGCAAGGCTGGGCTCAGAACTGAAACTCTGGTTTTCCTAATTCTCATTTCAATACACTCTTCCTGATAATGCACGTGTCAGTGAGTTCTTTTATTGATCCTATGAAAGTACTAGTTTTATGGAACTTGGTGAATCAGTTCAAAGATTCCTTCATCTTAACTTTTACTGAAAAAAAAATTTTTCTTACTCCAAGTAAGGAATTAAACCAATTTTTTTTTTTCCTCAGAAAGCTTATCCATCTTAAATGTCTCCCCTCTCTCCTCCACCGAGAACATAGCAATGTGTCATTGGTAAAATAGATAGCAATAATGCAGCCCAAAGCCATAGGTAAAATAATTCTTTGTCTGGATTCCCCTAGAGTATATTTGTTTGGGAAAATATTTAAGGATGAAATAGTAGGTCTAAGGGAAAGTTACAGAAATTTCAACATCTTGAATTAAACTAGTTTTCAAGAGTTCACTTAAGAACAGTTTACTAACTCGTTACTAATGAACACATAAAAGAAAAAAATGGTGTGAGCTCAGTTTAGCAGTTTGATGACTAATTATACTTTTTTTTTTTGGTAGGTGGGTAAAAGTGGCAATGTACCAGCAGGCACTACCGTGGATAGCACCATTACACATCCATCTGAGTTTGACTTTTACCTCTGTAGTCATGCAGGAATTCAGGTAATTTGGAAGCTGGTCCAGATCTGTGACTTGATAGGGAAGTGTTTGCAGATTCAGCAACCAGCTTGAGTAGACTTGTTATTAAACACCGTATGTAACTTTGTTAATGCTTGCATCTTACAACTGTTATCTTTTGGTCTAGGTATCTGCTTGTAGGTGTACTAGGCGGGAATACTTATGAATTTAAGAAGTGTGTTCCAATTCTTCTCTCAAGTAGTCAACCCATGTTGGAAACATTAATCATAAAACTCTTTCTCCAGGGAACCAGCCGTCCTTCACATTACCAGGTCTTGTGGGATGACAATTGCTTCACTGCAGATGAGCTCCAGCTACTAACTTACCAGCTGTGTCACACCTATGTGCGGTGCACGCGCTCAGTCTCTATTCCAGCCCCTGCCTATTATGCCCGGCTTGTAGCATTCAGGGCAAGGTATCATCTGGTGGATAAAGATCATGACAGGCAAGTTTCTCAGGCAAATAAAATCTTTCTATCTATGTTAGCAGCATGCTAAAAAAAAAATATTAACTACTACAGAAAGCTTTTTGGAAGAGTTAAACTTCCTTTTAGAGTTTAAATTTCAAGGAGCAAATAAAATTGCATGTGCCTTTGAGAGCTGATAATGGGACTTTCGGTCCAAGAAAGGCCCAGGCTTGTTTGTACTTGTGTGGTGTGTCTAAAGTCTGCCCCCCAAAAAGGAGTCTAGCTTAGAACTGTTTGTGGTTTTCCCATAGAGCCAAATGCATTTCTGTTCTGCTCGAGTTGTAAGCAGCCTCAAAACGTGTCCAGCTCAGTATCCTGGCTCCAGTCAGAGCGGTCGTAGGCCTGTGGATTCCACTTCATGCAAAGCCTGACTAGTTCACTTTGCTTTCAGTACCATCTGGAAGAAAGCACCAGAGGGAACCTGAGTGTGTGTTGGGGAAAGGTGGAGTGCTAGACCATTCTTATCTCCAAATAAGGATCTCAAGAGAATCAGACGTTTTGACCCGTTACTGAGCTACTATTAAATAACTAAACAAGTTCTCTGCGTTAATTTTTTTCTTCTCCCAAATGACCATCTGTGAAGTGTAGCAGTTTCTGGGCTCTTCCCCAAGTATGAATTCAGCTGCTAAATAGTAGACATTCCACTGCAAGTCTATTTCTGTAAGGGTTGAAAATACGCTATTATGGAAAATGCCCAGCTGTGGCTTTGTACCTTCCACTCTGCAATATACAAATTCATTCAACACATTTATTAGGTATTGACTATGTTGCCCAGCACTGTGCTAGGTACTAAAAACACTACATTGAGGAAGACATGTTTCTTGGGATTTTATATTTCAGTATGGGAGATAATACAGGCAAACATAGAACTGACAGTTAGCCCAAAGCAGTATAGATGAAAGTGCAGTTGAACATCAGAGGAAAGTCTGTTAGAGGAGATTTCATAGCTGGATGGATAGGATTTGGCTCTACAAAAAAGAGAAAAGGATTTTTGAAGCAGAGGGAGTAATGGACACAAAGAAGAAAAGTGACATGTTTGGACAACAGCAAGTTTTTCTTGGCTGGAACATTTGAAAGGGGAAGAGCAGGCACGAAGCTGGAAAAGTACATTAGAGCAAGATTGTCTTTGTTAAAAATAAAAGGCTATTCCTGGGATTTAAAAAAAAATTATTCAATAGTTAAGTGGGTGTGAGTGGCAGAGAAGAGGATGAAGTAAAAGATGACTAAGACTTTGAGCCTAGATGATAAGGGTAATAATTATTTAAGTAGAGAAATCAGAAGAGGGATGGTGATTCCCCATTTACTGAGCCCCTTTGGATCCCATGGTGCCCTGAAGAGGTATGTCCAGAAGTTGTTATTGTCATTCTAAAAGATCATAGTTCAGAGGAGTTGCTGCTTGTCCAAGGTCGTATGGCTAGTGAGGGGAACACAAGAAAGTCTCGTGGCAGAGTAACATTTGCTGAGTATCTACTATGTTCTAGCACTGTGCTAAACATATTCATTCATTCATTCAACAAATCGTTATTGAGGCAACGCTGTGTGCAAGGCACTAGAGATTCAATGGTGAGTAAGATAAACAAAGTTGCTATTTTCTTGGCGATCACATCCTAGTGGGCAAATAAATAATAATCTTTCAAATGAAAGAAAAGTACAGGATTCTATGAGTGTATATTCTAGGTGGCTCTAATCTGAACTTTGGAGTCAGGGAAGATTTCTTTGGGGGAAATGACATTTGACTGAAGCCTAGAGGACAAGTAGGCATTAGCCAGATATAACAGGCAGTGAAAGTCCTTATGTAGGCACTGTTAAAGATTTGGGTCATTGCAGACATTATTCTATTTAAGTATTGCAACAGCCTATTAAATAGGTTATATTGTATTTTTCAACTGAGTGAACTGATGTTTAGAGAGATGTTACAAGTTATTTAAGGAGCCACAAGCTGAGCCTCATCTTGAATCCAGGATTATGTATGCTATTTGAAACATGTGCAGTTTGAAGTGGTCTTTTGTGATACATGGTTTTTTGCTTTTTTCTCTTTACAGTGCGGAAGGCAGTCACGTGTCAGGACAGAGCAATGGCCGAGATCCTCAGGCCTTGGCTAAAGCTGTGCAGATCCACCATGATACCCAGCACACAATGTATTTTGCCTGAGAGTCTCAGAAAAAAAACTCAACCAATTTGACACCCCATGCAGCCTCAAAATATTTCAAATGCCTACTGCCTCTAGAGAGCCAAGTTGACTTCAGATGGTCTTCTACCAGCAACACGAAATAGTTGCACTGAATCTATACTTTGCAGTGCTGTCTGATGCATCAACAAAATTGAGCCATTTTTTTAAAAGTAATAGGTACTCATAGATTGTCTTTTCTGATGCACTGGACTGAATTTTTACCTCATCATGTAAAGGCTGATCAGCCTGAACTTTCTAAAGGACTTTACAAGAAAGGTTTCTATGGAATATTTTGCTAGCTGTGGTGTTCACCGCATCCCTCTAGTCTTACAAGAGAAGGTTATTTCTTTTTTTCTGTATTCATCGAGTGGGGTGTGTGCATAAATGGGAGAGAAAAACCAAACAATCTACTTCAGTTCAGTGTAACTATTTAATTGTGTGGGTCCATAGAGTTTTTAATGGAGATTTCTGACTTTGCCACTGTAAATGCCTTTAACGAGCATTAATTTTTGAAAGTTTTACAGAGTTTTATTAGTTTTATTACTTTATCTTTTTATCTCTACAGACTTGTGTTGGTGCAAGTACAGGCTGCCAGGCAATTGCACTAAATTTGGCTGCAGATTCAGACAGGCAGTTATCTTATTTGGTTGACTTTTGTGAATGTGTAACACAAACCGATGTAATGCATGTCACGGTGACAGATAACACTGCCATGGTAAAAGTACTCATGTTTCCCCCACTTAGAAAAAAAATTAGCTTTTAGTATTTTTCAAAGTTTTCAAAAGTGCCCATTTTATGCTGCTGTGTGGTTTGTTAGAGCTAAATGATTTTTAAACTTTTCTCATAGAAAGTTAACTTTGGCAATAAACATTTTTTAAGGTCCCTCCTCTTCCTCCCCCTGACAATGTAGTTTTTTAGATGAGATTTCGGTATGATTTTTATCAGCTATTTCTTATAGATCATAATCTGGCAATTTCTGAAACCGATCAGAAAAAACATATATTTCCTTCTTTTTAAAGAATTATTTTTATCTGTTTTATAGTCACAGTTGGTGTCCTGTCACTTCGTTTTAAAATAAGCTAGAACCAGGATGCTTCCTTATTGGATAGGCTTTTGTCAATCCTCAAGGTACATTGAGTGATGCTGCAACTTGCAAAAAATGTACCAGCATTTAAAACCTTTTTCCCTGGGAATCAAGGTTACTCACACAACTACTTGCAGTGCAAATTTTCTGTTTCTCTTTCAACCTGAAATATATTTGGTGGAGTTTCCTTCCTTTTATTAAACAAAAACTGCATAGAAAAGGTTGATTTTTCTTAATAGATTCTGGATTCAGTTCACAGGGAGATGGGATTCCTTTCTTGTCCAAACAAAAAGAGTTGATCTAAAGCAAGCATCAGTTAAAATGTAGGGGTAATGTATTTTGTATTTAGTGTAGATAACACTTTGTGAATGGACAACAGTTACATAGAGTCTTGATAGTTCCAGCCAGTGTTTCCCAGCCCAAATTTTAGTGACTTGTAATTCTTTGTCTTGGAACATCAGGAGTGAAAGCTGGAGAGGAGGATAAAAGGCCCAGAGCCACTCTATATGACTGAGGAAGGTGCTGGGGGAAGAGATAGATGCTACATGGTAAAACGATTTTGCCACCTCTGTCTGCAAACTGCTGGTGGGGGAAACACTGGATCTAACGGTGAAGGATGTTTGCTTGAACTCATTAGCTGGTCCAAATCTCTTAAACTAGCCTTCTCAAAATCCCAGCAATATAAAGCACTGTTTCTCTTCAGTCTTTTAAACAAGCTTGTAAATACATTAAAGTTTACATTTCTATGTGCTGTTGATCAGCAGCTCCACCAGTGTTTGCTGAGACTGGTCTCTGAGAGTTTTATAATGTATATCAAGTCCTAAAGCTCATTAAGATAGGAGTGCAGACATCCTTGTTCTCTGCATAGAGTGGGATGAAAGCAAGCGCTGTAACTGAGGCACAGCATAGGCAGGAGTGCAGAAGATGGCAGGTGTTAATTTCTTAAGATTTTCCTTTTTTGCAAATACCTCACTTGGATACTACAAATCAGGACATGTTGGTGAGGGGGCTGGCTGCTGCTTTTTATTCACACTTGTTCAGGGAGAGCACAGAAAATACCCTTCAGCTTGGCCACCGTGGACCCAAGAGGAGGAAGAACAGAAGCTTTTTTTAGAAGAACTGGCTGGAGTCCAGGATGTGAGGAACTCTTGGAGGCTGGCTGGCTGGCCAGTGGGCACCACACCTGCACTTGTGTGCCTCGGACTTGCTTGATAATAATGCACAGAAGAAGCATCACTTCTCACCATCTCCTGGCATGTATTGGAGCAGGGAGCGAGGCAGAGTGCCAGGAAGCCCTGACTTGCTTTCCTGCAATTGGGCTATACGCTCGACCTTGAACTATAGTTTATATGAAACTCAGTCAGTCCTAGTACACTGTGGGCAAATCAGTGTGGCAGAGGAGGAAAAGCCAGGAGGCCTATTTTATAGGAAAACAGTACCTTTAAGGGTGCAATGCTGTCGTTTTGGACAAACGGAAAGAAATATGGAAGAACTAGAGTTGTTGGGAAAAACTTGCTGAGGGGTGAATTTTTAAGAGGGAATCACTGCAGAAACAGAGTTGCAGCAATACTATTGCAAGCAAGTCTGAATGCATGGTTTTAATTCAGCTTGACAATTTGAATACTTTAACCTCTTGGGACTGACTGAATCATTATGCATGTGTCAATCAATGGGAGGTGTGCATTCTCTAGAAGTAGGTTTAGGCTGTTTGTTTTTTTTAAATGCAGTCTGTTTAGGCACTGTCATGTGGTATGAAAGATTTAAATGTAGCAATGCTAAAGAGTAACAATTTGGGGCTAAGGGGCAGGGGACATTAAAAGAGTGGTGAAGATCCAAATGTTGAATCAGGTATGTTTTGTTGTTGTTGTTAGCTGTAACATGAACTAGCTGGCCTAAAACAGCCAGCAGTCTGGGCAGGCAGAACACAATCATTCTTACTGTAAATTCTATTTGCTGCTTCCAAAGGTGATGATTTACAAGCAGACATATTCTATATGGTCTGTATTTTAGGATCTGGTGCCCAGCCTATATCAGAGCTTACCTACCTGGCTCAGCTACCTACTCTTCCTGTGGGAAAAGGTAATGCACTGTTTAACAAGGCTCACCCTCTCTGCTCTGCCCTAGCTACCCTTTGTGGATGTGCTGTAAGATTTTCTTGCTCAATAGCAAGGCAGTAGCTCTGCTTTCATTTTAAGAAAGTGGAGGCTGAGGGCATTGTATCAATACTGCATCAACTCCAAGGATTTTTCCTTGTAAAATTAAAGGGAAGATCTTGTTATTGATTAACCATTTTCTTATCCCTTGCTATTGACATATTCATACTCTTTCTATGTCTAGTGGCTGAAAAATGTTTGCATTTGTTCATTTGACTGATGGTGTCATTTTTGTTTCTATATTGTTAGGCCTGTAATGTTTTAATATGTATTTTATTAAATTTGGACTGAATGTCTCTAGCAATACGAGGTACTTTCTAAACTATTGAGGGATGGGTGGTATCCCCCTGTTGAGATAAGATGATGGTTGTTTCAATTTTGCAATTTTTTTTGGCCTGCAGGGATATTTTGTGTTCATGTGTCCAAAAAAGAATAAATTGGCATTCTTGTGCCAAACGTTGTTCTTCTTGTCAATTTTCTAATAAATATGGAGTATACTGTAACAGCAGCACACATCGTTGCTTTTTAAAAACAATTTCCTCAATTTAAGAAACCTGAGAAAAAAGAACAATGGGAAAACTGTGTTTTTAAATCCTAGGGCTCCCTATTTTTAGAAATTGTTATTTGGAAATTTTAGAAGAGCGTCTCACAATATTTCACGTGTAAGAATTTACGAACTTCATCAGGGTTCTAGGTACAGCTCTTAATGGGATGATTTCAGTATTGTTTTGAGAAAAATCTGCAGTCTCCAGAGGGCAGTATGGCCACATACTTTGTAAGACTACTTCTCTAGAGGAAGAGCTGCTCAAATTCACCTGTCTTGGGGCGATCCAATCTCATGTCTTTAAATTCTTACCAGCAAAGCTTTTTTTGTTAAGTCATGGCAAAGGTAATGAAGAAATTTATGCAATATAGCCCTTATCCTTAGGGAATTTATAATTTACCAGAGGAGCAAGTCTTACATACAACCAACTTTACTGCAGGTAATTGTTTTTTCCATCACTGCAATATCCCCTTCTCCATATTTGTCTGTTATCAAACATTTATCATGAACCCAACATATCCCTAGCTCTGCCTAGGTGCTGGAAACACAGAAGAGTAAAAACTTAGTTCTTTGAAGGATTCATTCTCATATGGCATAAGTTGTAAAGGAGGAGGCAGCAAGATTAACATTATCTGAGCACCTAGTATATGCCAGTCACTTTATATTGACATCTTTAATCCCAGCAACAGTCCTTTGAGGTTGATAGTTGTATCCCTGTTTTAAAGATGAGGAGTCAAAGCTAGAATTTGAATCCACGCCTATCTAACTTCATTATATCTGCTACTGAGCATGAAATTATAGGAACTTAAAAGGGGAACAACAACTCTTATCATGGGGACTCAGAAAAGACTTTACAGGGTCATGAAATTTGGAATAGATTATGAAGCATGAGTCAAACTTTGCCAAGTGGACAAGGGGGGAACAAGGGGATTCTAGACGCACTGTTTGTTCCCTTACAATAGATTATAGCAGCTATAATTTCCATCTACCCAAATGCTTTCCCTTATTACTTCTTTGGGCGATAGAATCCTTCTTTCTTATGGGAACCCCATCATTTTGTGTACTTCAAATGAGTCCAAATGGCCTTCCTCCCACTTCATCCCCCACTATTTGTATCATGTGAATGTCCATCCTTGAACCAGTCACTGGAGGATGTATTACACCATCCATAACAGCTCATGTGCCCACTCCTGTGTCGGGGGCATGGCCAGCAAGTAAAGAAGTCGCAGACTGACCAGCACCATTATAAGACATGGGCCTCTTCTGTCTCTTTTCTCCATCTCTTGGCTCTGATTTCCTCTGTGTTGACTATATTCTCCAGAAGCTATTGACAAATCTATAAGAAGAAGAGAGACAAAATTAGATGGGGAAACTAGCAATTATATTACAAACTGACTGGAGAAAAAAAGAAATTATTTAGTTTAACAAACATTTCTGGAGCTCCTATTATGTGTAAAGATGAAAGACATATATGCTAGCCATTGGAAGGTTCACTTGTAAACTTGGGGGCCACATGTATAACAAGGTAGCTTTGAGGGTTAAGTATTATGAGAAATGTACATGGAACCATGGGACCACTTAGAAAGGTTGCTAACCCAGCCTGGGGGATCGAGGAAGTCTCAGAAGAAATGATGACTAAGCTGTCTTATAAAAATAAATGAGTTTTGTAAATGAACAAGGTGGAAGAAGGCATTCTAGGAATTCTTGTCATGGGCAAAGTCACAGGACGGAAAAAGATCATGACTTGTTTGGACGAATTACAAGTAATTTCAGTACTCTTAGATTATAAGGGGGGCTTAGGGGAAGTAGAAGTGATAAGTTTGGACCACAGAGGCAAGCACCAGTTCCCAACAGGACAGGACTTGAATGGCATTTTCTGGAGTCCAGAGTTTGTCCACAGGTACAGGGGAATAGCAGAGTCTGATCTGTGTAGTTATGCTGACAGTAGTGTTGTAGGTAGGTTAAAGCTGAAGTTCTGAAGGAAAGTTAGATTTTTATTTTGATAACTCAAGCAGAAGATGATGAGGCTTGAACTTGAGCAGTGATAGTGCAGTTGGAGAGAAGGAATGAATACAAGAGATATTCAGAGAGTAGAAAAAGCAGCACTTGGCAAAAGTGGACATAGAGAGTGTGGGGAAGGAAATAGTCTCATTAGAAGGGCTCTCAGTTTTCTGGCTTGGTTAGCTGGGTAGATGATAGTGCCAGCATGAGAAAGAACACAGAGAAAGGAGCAGATTTGTGATTTGCTGGAAGGAGGAAGGTGATTAAGTTCAGTTCTGGACATATAAGATTTGAATGTGGTGTATGTGGACTGGAGAAAGAGATTGGAAGCCATCAGTATATAATATCTATATATATCTATCTATATCTATAACTATATCCTATTGGTTCTGTTTCTCTGGAGGACCCTGACTAATACAGGCTGCTCTTGGTACCTTCTCTTTGATTTTCAATTTCAAAATTTTTACTTTAATAGGCCTAGGTATCTTTGTGTTTATCCTGTGTAGGACTTTACTTATTCATCTTTGTGAAACCAGCCCACAATGTCTGGCATATAGTAGGTGCTCAATAAATGTTAGCTAATATTATTATTTGAGGAAATTCCCCAACATGGAAGTTAGAGAACAGAACAGTGAACATGTCTCAAAGGAAATAGAGATCATGCAAATGGATCACAAGAAAACTTCCTCCCCAGATTGTACTTTATATTCTCAGAAAGATTTTAAAAAGATACTGAAGTCTTTAAACAAGAGGAGATTATAACAATAGGAACAACTTAATTAAAGGAAAATAGTAACAAAAAATTTAAAACTCATACATGAAACAAAATCCACAGACTCCCACAGATAATTGAGGAAGTCATGTTTGAACTCTCCTCCACCCTAAACTTTGCCCTCCAGTGATCCTGTCTCTTCTAATTCTGAACTCCAGTCTCTGTGGTCTTTTTCTTTGACCCTACTCCTGGCTCCTGGGCTTGCTTGGCATTTGGACTTGGTTTCTCTCGTGTTTAACCTTGCTTTCTCCAATTGCCTTCACTTGGCTGCCCTCAGAGTCTCAGTGTCCCATGCGACATTAACCCTCATCCCCAACCTATATGTGTATTAGGGATATAGATTCAGATATTAGAAATAGTGAAGAGTTTTTACATTCTTATTAAAAAGATACCAAACACATCAGCAATTTATCTCACATATCGCCTTTCAATGCATACATGTTTTTATATTGTTGTCATCTTAATGCATACAGGATTTTGTACTCTGTTATTTCATTAACAGTTACATAATGAACAGTTATCCTTTTTTGGAACTGAAGTCATGTCGTTTTATGGCCATAATAATTCATTAGGTAAGCATTATTGAATACTTATTGCCTGCCTGACATTGTGTTAAGCATTGAGGCTGCAAAGACAAGTAAAGTATGGTTTTTCTTCATGCTTTTGAGATTTTTACACACTTAGAGCAAGGAGGAAGGAGAAGGCTATATCAACAAAGGAGAGCAGCTAAGCGTTGCCACATGCACCACAGGAAATGCAAGCAGGGACACAAGGGAGGGAATGTCAGGAAGTTGTCATGAAGGCAGGAAGCCTTGAACTGAGTTTTGAAATACAAGTAAGTTTCATCAGTCAGATGGAGGAGATGTTGAGGTTTTAGGGGGTTAGTAAATCATACCCTTTTCCCTACAACAGTTCAGAATCAACTGTAAAATAGACACCGGATATCAGATAGTTGGACCAAGGACAAGATGTGAGCTTTATTATTGCTGATAACACTTAGATAAGAGGACTTGCTTAGAAGTGAGGGCAAATGGGAGTGTAACATTCCACTTTATTTAACATGCTTTCCTTTGTAGTCACAGTAAGCACAGGTTTTCCTCACAGGGAAGAATCTACTTTTTAAATTTTATTAAGTACTTCATAATGAAATGGAAAAAGTTTAGATCCCATTTAAATGACATCAAAAATTAAAAATGCTTAGGAATAAATTTGAAAAAATGTGCAAGATCTGTACACTGAAAACTAGAAAGTATTGCTAATAGAAATTAAAGACCTTCATAAATGAAGAGATGTACTATGATCATGGATCAGAAGACTTGATAGTTTTGAGGTGTTATTTGTAACTCACTTGATCTGTATGTCAGTTCTGATCAAAACTCCAGCAGGCTTTCTTGGTAGAAATTTACTGCTAATTCTAAAATTTATATGGAAATGCAAAGGACATAAAATAACCAAAAACAACTTTGAGAAGAAGAATATAGTTAGAATTTACACTACCTGTGGAGTATGGATTCTAAGACACTTTAGTGAGAGCAATCTTTTCAACAATTGGATAGACTTGTGCAAAAAAAAAAAAAAAAAAAAAAAAAAGAGCCTGAATTTTGCCTCTCACCAAACAGAAAAAGTAGCTCAAAATGGATAATAGAACTAAATGTAAAAGCTAAAACTATAAAACTTCTAGAAGAAAACATGGAAGAAAATCTTAATGACCTTGAATTTGGCAAAGATTTTTAAAACATAACATGTAAAGCATCAATTATTTTTTAAAAAGTATCAATTAATTACATTTTATGAAAGTTAAAAATTTTGCTCTTCATAAGACAGTTATGAAAATTAAGAGATATGCCATAACCTGAAAGAAAATATCTGCAAAACATATATCTGATAAAGGACTTGCATCTAAAATATATGAAGAATTTTATAACTTAAGAATACAACCCAATTTAAAAATGACTGACAGATTTGAACAGACACTTCACCTAAGAAAATGTACAAAAGGCAAATAAACACTTGAAAAGATTCTTTATATAATTTGTCATTAGGAGAGTATAAATTGAAACCACAATGGGATACCAACATACTCCCACTGGAAAGACTAAAATAAAAGACTGTGGGTACCAACTGTTCAGGAGGATGTGGAGC